CTATAGGACAGAGTAGAACTGCCCCATAGAGTTTCTAAGGCTATAAATCTTTACAGAAGCAGATTGCTTCATCTTTCTCCCATGGAGTAGCTGGTGGGTTGGAACCATCAACTTTTGGGTTCGCAGTCAAATGCTTTAACCACTGCACCCCAGAGTAATAGCCCTTGAACTTGTAAAGGCAGCAGTATGTGGCTCTGTGGCCCCAAACAGTATCCAAGACATCAGACATCTCTGGACAGGCTCAGAACAGTCACTATATATATATATAGTGGATGTATCCCCCTGTCATTTTCCCGAGACAGACAAGAAGTGAATAAGGTATGCCAACAAAGTGATGAAATGTCTGTGGGGGTGGGGGGCTGGAAGATGTTGATACCAGGAGCCCAGAGCTGCCCCCCTCTCTACTCACCTCTGAGGAACACAGACACTTCGTTTAAGCCTCAGTCAGTCTTCAAATTCCTAGACTGGCATTTATCAGCTGATGTCACAATATTGCAAGATTACGTATCTTTTTAACAAACAATAGTATCAGTGCTGATAAGATGTGCATACACCCCTCTTACATGCACAATCTCGCCTCAAGATTGCTCAACACTGCTCCATGTGGTCACAGCAGCCCTTAGTGGATGACCAGCTGTTTAATATTGCCCAGCCCACCTGCCCAGGGTCCTGGAGGACAGGAAGGGGCTCACTCCCTAGGAATTTCTCTCGGAAAGTTAGGTCAGCAGGATCTAATTACCCAACTGGATTAGAACTGAGATTTCGAGATTAATGATGCTAGGGGTGGGCAGGTGGCTAAGGATTCTTAATTGTGAGGTCCTTTTCATGGATCCTCACATCAAAGGTAGGGTCAATAGCCCTAAGTCAACAGACCCTGCTGCTTGAATTACACAGTCTAGCCTGCAAGTTTTCCTGTTAGGGGACTTGACGGTATCATGGCCCAGGCTGTGTGGCCACTGTGCCAGCCCTATCCAGATGTCAGCACCTGGTCAGGGATGCACACTTCTGCATAACACACCAAACATGGGAGGAACAATCCAAACAGAGAGGCTTAGCCTCTGTGATGTTCAGGAATTAGACTGCTCTGGGATATAAGCATAACTTGGAAAGACCCTCTCCTATGCCCAGCGTGCCCATAGTTCTCCCACATATTATAACATCAGACAACTAACGGTTCTCAAATTAAAAAGTAGCCAGGGGGAGTCATGTGTTATTTTAAATTCGAAGGTCCACTAGGTTGCTGACAATGGCTGACAAGCCTGGAGCTCAACATTCGCAGACAACTTGAGCCAAAGCCAAGTGAGAGGCCACAATATCCACTCAGGCCTGCCCTGTCCACAGTGGTCAACTGAGCCTCAGTATTTCTACAGATAAGGTGCTCTTGTAGTGTCGTAGTTAAAACGCACTTCTGTTAACCAAAAGGATGGCAGCTCAAAGCTCCCAGCCCCCACCATAGGAGAAAGATGAGGCAGTCTGCTTCTGTAAAGATTTACAGCCTTAGAAACCTTATGGGGCAGTTCTACTCTGTCCTTATAGGGTTGGTATGAGTTGGAATCGACGCAGTGGCAGCGGGTTTGAAGTTTTTTGGTTGTTTATTTCCATAGATCACAGAAGAGTACTGTCAGACTTACTGCTGGAAGATGAGCCCCCTGGGTCAAAAGGCACTCAAAACACAGAGTAGCCACACCCATGGACTTGAGCATACTAATGAACAAGAAGATGCTGCAGCACCCGGCAACGTTTCCTTCTTTTTCACATGGGGTTGCCATGAGTTGGAGCTGACCCACAGCAACTAACAACATTTTTATTTTAGCTTCAAAATGAAACTAGACTAACTGACTTTCAGCAGCCCACTGCTGTGGAGTCGATTCC